ACTGGGTTTGGAACCCATGCCCCTTGTCTAGCGAGTGCTACTTAGTTTATGGCGAATCCCTCTGTCATAAACAGTTCCACCATTCCATTGTACTTGATTCGCCTAATCAGGGTAACAACACTTTTATCCCCCCTGCCTCAATAACAGAGAGACTGGGGATCCCACAGTAGCCAAAGTGACCATTTGGGCTGCTGTGAGCACATACTAGACAGGGTGGGTGTGTCTATGCAAATTGGGCTCAGCCCCTGAAGTCTCTTTGCACCACTTGCCACAGTTCACCACCAGATGTCCGGATAGAGTTTACCCTGACCCCGCTTACATCTATGCTTCTGTAGGGCTGGTAGGAAAATACTGACGGTTCTTCCAGGAAGGATGTCTGAAATTTTTCTCCCACCTTCATGCATCATTTGAGATGAGATGATTTAATTTACTGATCATTTTACAAATCTCTCAGGCCCTTATATTGCTCCCATAATCATAATAGCTGAGCCCATCACAGTCTTTAAGGTATTTATGCCCACAATGCCTCTGTAGGGTAGGGCACTAGGCATAGCTATTTTCCTCATTCCAAAGTCGGGAAACTGAGGCACGGAAAGGTACGCAACGTGTCCAAGACACAGGAAGCCTGTGGCAAAGCAGAGACTTGAACCCATATCACAAGCATATGCCTCGCTACCAGATTAGTTTTCCTCACTAAAGAGATATTTGGAGCCATCATGAATTGTTTCACAGCTGCTCTTACAACCACATGACCCCAGTTTTATTGCCCTCACTCTCATTCCCAACGGTGTGTGTCATGCTTCCTTGTTGCATCTTGCCTCTTATTACATGCGGGCTACATCTAGACTGGCATGATTTTCCGGAAATGCTTTTAACGGAAAAGTTTTCCGTTAAAAGCATTTTCGGAAAAGAGCGTGTAGATTGGCACGGACGCTTTTCCGCAAAAGCACTTTTTGCGGAAACGCATCCGTGCCAATCTAGACGTGATTTTCCGCAAAAAAAACGCAGTCACCATTTTCACAATAGGGGCCTTTTTGCGCAAAACAAATCCGAGCTGTTTACACTGGCCCTTTTGCGCAAAAGCTTTGAGCAAAAGGGACATTTGCCTGAATGGGAGCAGCATAGTATTTCCGCAAGAAGCACTGATTTCTTACAGTAGGAAGTCAGTGCTTTTGTGGAAATTCAAGCGGCCAGCGTAGACAGAAAAGCGGCTGATTTTCCGGAAAAACTGGCCAGTCTAGACACAACCTCGGAGTTCTCTGGGATGGGCAGGGCCTGCCTCCTACTAGGTGTCTGCCTCACAGCCCGGCACAACGGGGCCGTGTTCACAACTGGGGCATCTGTGCAGATGTGAGCATTGCTCTAATGGGCCAGCTAGTTAGCTGGAGCAGATCAGCAGAGTATGAAGTCTGTGGAGCTCCACAGATTTCCAGCCATTGGGGATCAACCCTAACATCTGCAAAGCGTTTGGGGATCCTTAGTTGAAAGGGGCAATGGAAGGGTAAGGTGTTCCTGGGGAGAGGTGAAGTCCCAGCTGTGACTGCTCTGGTAGGTTGTGCCGCTTGTTAATAGTGTCATTACCCAAACACACAAGATGCTGCTAATGCATTTTACTGTCTGATATTGAAGCTAGGGACCATTATTTCCAGTGGAAAGGAAAGGCCGGTTCACATGACATGATTTAAACCTCTACCGTGAAGCATGCGTACGCTGCACTGGGTCATAAATCTTAACAGGATGCTGCCAACGAGAAAAGGACCAAAATTGAAACCATTTATCTGAACTCCCACACACACATCCACTCCCACCACCGTCACCCCTCCAGTTTGGGGGAGATGGATAAAATGAGGCCTACTTCCAAAATGCCTCTGGATTCATTCAGCAAAACAAAAACTCAACTGTCAAGATGCTGCGAAACCCCAAGCGTCCCTGTTTCTGCACATTTCCACGCTCTCGGTTTATTCAAGCCAGCTAAGACTTCCTGAGGTTTCCGATGCTGCAGAGCATGGCCGCTAGCAGAGACAGAACTTGGGATCTGCCTCTTGCTCCTGAAGCACAGGCCTCAAACTGTCCAGTCAAAGAACAATCTGCTTTCAACATTGGGACTGCAGGGTCTATGGCACACAGTTCTGTGTGGCATGGAGCAGTTCTGATGCCAACCGGGAGCTCACCTACACCATTACCTGTACTTTACGATACAAATGGGAATGAGTCAACCTGTGGAACTCCTTGCCACAGGGATATGGTGAAGACCAGGACTTTAACAGGGTTCAAAAAAGAACTAGATAAATTCATGGAGGTTAGGTACATCAATGGCTATTAGTCAGCTATTAGGAATGGTGTCCCTAGCCTCTGTTTGTCAGATGCTGGAAATGGAAGAAAGGGGAGGGTTCCCCTGATGATTCCCTGTTCTGTTCACTCCCTCTGGGGCATCTGTCATTGGCCACTTTCAGAAGACTGAATATTGGGCTAACTGGACCTTTGGTCTGACCCAGTCTGGCCATTCTTATATTCTGTTTTCATGCGTTCTGCATTTAGAGGAGAAAAAACAGAGTAGGTGCCACATGGATGAAACTTGTATTGAAGAGGTCGCCTGGTTGGCCCCACAGCAGTGCTAAACTAAAATGCTTTCCCTCTGCTGAGCAAACTACTGATATTGTGATTAGGAGGGAGTAAACCAAAAAAGGGTGGGGAGGGAGGGAGTCATCTTGGCCCCTGCAAAGGGCTAGAAGCTGAGGGAAATGTGTGCCAACATGAAAGTGGACAGCACTGACAGGGAAAGCAAGGTGTCATGTCGTCTTCCAGAGCTGAGCACTATGGGCCTCGACTGAGTCTTAAAACAATGAGCAAACACAAAATTATAACATTTTTAGGGAGTAACAATATCACTTAGCCCTGGTCTACCCTAGAATTTTATTTTGAAATAACCTCCCTAGGTCGAATGTATAAGCAGAGCATCCATGCTAAGAAGCCCGTTATTTCGAAATAATGGACCACTTAATTTGAAATCTGTACTCCTTCTTTTCATCAGGCATAACACTAATTACAAAATAGTTATTTCGAAATAACAATAGTGTGGATGCTCCAGTACCGCTATTTCAAAATAACTACTCTCCAGAGAAATTAAAACTAATTCAAAGTCCCCCGTGCTTCCGGGAGCTCTAAGTCTGAGGTAGCACATCCACATTAATGGAGACTGTCTCGGACTAATTTCAAAGCTTCCCCATAGTGTGGGCACAACTTCAAATGTATTAAATCGGGAGTAATTAAGTCAAATTTAAACAGTGCAAAATAGTTGCCTGGTGTAGACATGGTCTAAGACAGTGTTTCTCGACCTTTTTTTAATAAAGTATCCCTTTTTCAAAAAAAGCCCAAAAATTGTAAGTACCCCCAGTACCTAGTTTTCAGACACATTTTTTTTTTAACCATTGCAACACATTTGTTTAAACTTAATCATAGCCAGGTGGGCGATGAAAGTTTTGGCTTTAAAAAGTAAAAAAATAATAAAGCTCTGTAAAACTTAAAATGAAAATACAGTTTTCTCCAAATTTCAGTTGTGTTGACATAGCCCCCCAGACTTCTCTTGAGTACCCCTAAAGGTTGAGACCAATGGTTGAGAAATACTAGTCTAAGAGATTCAGCACTACTAACAGACTAACTAACTAGTCTGCACTACTAACTAACACCCTTCATCCAATAGGGCATTGCAAATAACAAAGAATTTTGACCTAGTAAGGGCTTCAGAACTTGGTTCTAAATAAACACAGGAATCACTAGGCCACGGCAGTGCAGCTCCTTCTGGGGAGGAGACCATCAGCTAGATGACACAATGAGAGAGAGATGGGAATTTTAACCAAGCACACCAGGGTGAAAAGTTACCACAAAATCTTGAATATCAGCACAGAGCAAGCAGGACATCTCTTTCCTAGGTCTCATCCATGCTCTGGAGATTTCACAATACTCTGTTTATCTGAGGATTTAGCAGGCATAAAGGGCACCACTGATGCTGATGCGTAGACTGAGGGGGCTGCCTCATCTCACTCACCCAGCTTTTTATGTGGCTATAACTCCCCTGACTCCAGAAGGGAGTATTACCCTAGCACACGTGAAAAGTGAATCAAACTCATGTATGGCAAACGTGCTTGAACCCGTAAGCCATTCCCACTATCATGAGAACAGCGGCTTTGAATACAGCCTGACACCCCCATCCAGTCTATTTGGCAGGTGAACAACAGTTAGGGCAAGGATAGGGGTAGAGAGCCATCTCACATTTACCAATCCCCCTTCACCACCTACACCTCAGCAGCTATGATGAATTTATTTCATCTGTAATGTTCTCTCCCACTTCAGTGCTGTACCCTGGAGATTTTGGAGGGAAATCAAGACAGTGGCTCACAGGTTTGCAGTTAAAATCGAGACAGTTTTTTATAAGGTGCAGGAGGGATAAATATTGTTCCCTGATTATGACACAAACTTCCTCTCTCTCTCTCTCTCTCTCTCTCCAACCCTTTCTCTCCTCATCTCTCCTCATACACACTAACCCACCTTTCAAATGGCAAATTGATACAAATAAATGCATCAAAAGAGATTTGGACCAAGCCACTGCTTCGTGTTAAGGTTCCAAAAGTGACACAGAACACCCAGTCTCCTGAGCTGAGATGTTTGAGAAAGGGCTATAAAGAAGGGAAAATTACCTTCGGAACAGAGCTAGTAATTGTACATACAAAGGGGAGTAAAAAATGAAAACAAAGGCATAAGCTATAAAGGAAGTTAAAAGAAACAAGGCAGACCTCATTTATATTTGATCAATGTACGATTAACCATAGTTAACCATTCATTCATCTGCTGTGCATTAGAACTGCTATTCAAAGTTGGAGAGCATTTAATATTATATATTGCCACTGCTCAGACTAAATTGTTTTTTTCCTTTAAATGTACACAATATTACAAATTTAATTTTAAGCTGTTTGAATCAGTCTGTAAAAAAGATTTGATTATACCTGAGTGTTCTGGCCCCAGTTTTTCCGTATCTCAGTAATCTTGGCGGTAATTGGCTGATTAGCTCCCTCACACTCCATCTCTGCCTCAGTTTCCATGGTAATGTTACAGGAGCTATTATAGATGAGAACTTCATCTCTTTCCACTTTAGGGCTGAAACGAGAAGGGAGGTTAAATGGGGTGTCATCAATCTTAATGAAATGCAATTATTTTTACTCTTATTAATCATTGCAAGCCATTAGCTTGTGGCAACTCCTGCCCACCATTTGTCAAACTTTGCAAATTTCTGTAATTTTGTTTCCATTCTTTTATTGTTTATTTGTTTCCCCTCCACCCTTTATCTGCAAACCCTCCTGATGACAATACATGCAGTAAATATCTCTCACTGATGCCTTTCAGCTTCAGAAAACAGTTATAAATGCTAGCAAATGCTCTTCCAGTACCAAGGGAAGGAGGTAAGTGCAGACAAGGACTAAGGAATTGACGCTGCGAGAGTCGAAGATGGAAGCATACACTGAGTAGGGTTTGTCTGGATCCCCCTTCCCCCCTTTCCCTATCTTATTCACACTTAGCAATGGGGAATGAATAACTTTCTACTCCCTTAGGGCAAGCTGAGAAATTGGAAAACCACACAACTGGCTAACTGGTCCCTCATTCCAACTGTGAAAAAATGAGCTCATTTAGGGTTCCAATTCCTGCTCCCCAGCTGACTGCAATGATGCTTTGTTGCTAGCACTGGAACATTAACTTAGTAAATTAATTAAACTTACTTAACAGCCCAGACTAAGCAGATTCGATATATGTGCCAGTTCTGCTAAGACACTTGCTCCAAAGGCTTCTGTCTCATACAGAGAAGCAGGAGCAGCAAAGGTAATAGGTAAGAAGTGCTCCTACTGGGTCTTGTCACTGTCAGCTACTCACTTGGGTACCATTTGGGCATGGAGAGCTGTAAGGGTCTGATTCAAAGCAGTGTTGTCTGGAAGCTGAGTGCTTATGCAGCCACTCCGGAGAGATTCAAATACCATCCCTCTGATTAGCAAAGCACCCACAGCCACGTATTTTGTTTCAACTGGTGGTGCACATTGGCACATGCCTCGGTGCACATAAAATTTATTCCAAACATGGATGGAAAAGATTAGAGGGAACATTGATCTAAAGTACCTTGAAATCTCTGAAAAGCCTCCCAGTTCACTTCACTGAGCTTTGGGTGGCTCCGGGAAGTATAAGTCCCATTTTCACATATGGATGCAATTTGCATTCCTTTCTTCAGCCCTCCTCTTTTCCCACCCTTTCCATCCAACAAATCAACCATGAATTTGTTTGCAGATTTGTGTGAATTTAGAACTGATTTCAGAAGAATGAAGCTCCCAATTTAGCCACAAAACCATCACAACGCAGGCGGCAGCCTTCCTCAACCCACAGGCGGTCTAGTTCAGTCCATGTACCTATTATGGAGTTGGCAGCTCAGTCTCTAGGCCTGATTCTGTACCACCATTCACCATGAGCAGTCACTGACATCAGCTCAAAGAGGCTGACTGCTCTGACTTGCTCATATCGTACCCCCATTGTACATAGCTATAAATGGTTAGCCAAGGCAAGAGGCAATGGTGAATCAAGCCTACAAAGTGAATTTGGCAGTGGGTTTTGCGATGTAGGTGTCTAGTCACTGGGAACTTGGACAGAAACAAAACAAACACCCTTTCTCATACCAAATTCAGCAATAACAGGTAAGGGTTTAAGATGATGTAACTCACGTGATGAGGGAGTAGCTAAAGGAGATGAGCTACAGCACTGTTCTACACATAGAAGGCACCTAATGATCCAGAGAAATACAGCCAGACTGACAAAAGTGCCAAAGCAGGCTAGTGGCTTACTTGGCAGCCAGGTCTACCCTGCAGGGAGAAGGTCAGCTTAAGGTACACAACTCCAACTACAAACATAATGTAGCTAAATCAATGTACCTTAAGCCAAGCTTGGTGCTGTCTCCACAGTGGAAGGTTGATGGGAAAAATGCTCCCATCAACTTCCCTCACCAGTAAAAAGTACTGGCACCAATAGGGGCACCCTCAGTGTTTGATTTAGTGGGTCTTTACTAGACCCACTAAATCAAACCCTGGACGATCGATTGCCAGAGCATCAATCCTCTGCTAAGTGGAGATGTGACCTAAGTGAGATTAACTCATCTGAGAATCTGGTCCTTAACTTCCTTGAGAGTACCAGCATCCCAAGAAATTGATGAATTTGCAGTTTCCAAACCATGCCATTCTCCAAGTAAGTAGCAGTAATGGCTGTGGGATTGTGGGGGCAGGTAACTGTTTTATTGCCATTTTTAGCACAATCCGGGCTGTATTAAAGACAGAGCTGTGTTAATAAAAGCCATGTCCATTATTTGAGCCATTTTAACAATGCATGTATTTATTTATTAAATTAATCTTTCCTTCCAACATGTCAATAACAGAAAGTCAGCCTTAAGATACAGCACTAGATTCATAATATCAACACTTTAAGAACTTTCAAAAGGGTAGTCAGGTTAGTATGTTTCATAAAAACAACAAGGAGTTCTGTGGCACCCTAAAGATTAACACGCTTATTTAAGCATAAACGTTTGTGGGCTGGAACCCACTTTGTTAGATGCATCTGATGACTAGTTCCTGTCCATGAAAGCTTAGGCACAAATAAATGTGTTAGTCTTTAAGGTACCAGAGGTCTCCTCGTTTACTTTGTGAACTGTTCTTGCCCTGCAGTGTAATTCAATGGGATGGGGGCATCTTTCAAGGCTACATCATATTTTCTTCTGCAAGGGAAAAATGTATTCTTCAACAGCCAACATTTTTATGGGGAGATAACTATATCCAACGCATGGATCAACAAAGGGCTTGATCTATCTTGGATGGAAGTCAGTGGAGATCTTGCAAGAGATAGTAAGGGGAGTTCAATCAGATTCTACTTTAGGAATCATTTATAGGTAATGGACATATTCTGTAGGGTCGCAGGGTAACTACAATGGTAACAGTGACTTCTGTTAGGACAATAACCATTGGGCTTAAATTACAACAAGGGAAGTTTATGTTGGACATGAGGAAAAACTTCCTGTAAGAGTGTTTAAGCAATAAAATAAATTGCCTAAGGAGTTTGTGAAATCACCATCATTGGAGATTTTTAATAGCAGGTTAGACAAACACCTGTCAGGGATATTCTAGATGGTGCTTGGTCTTGCCATGAGTGCAGGGGACAGGACTTGATGACCTGTAGAGGTCCCTTTGGCTATGTCTAGACTGCACTCTTAAATCGGTATCTTTTTTCGATTTAATTTCGAAAGAGGCTTTTTTTTTAATTTGGCACGTCAATACGGCACCAAATTTCAGAAAAAATTGCTTTTTCAAACCATCCCTTATCCCTTGTAGAATGAGGTTTACAGGGATAGTGAAAGAACATCTCCGTTCTTTCAAAAAAATTTCAAAAAAGTGGACATGTTCTTGGATGCGGCTTTGCTTTTTCAGGATACTTCATTTCTGGGCACCTCGCTGCTGGAAAGTAATTAACAAAGTAGAAAGTTTATAAAAGTGAAACAAAAATAATCAAAACCAGAGGGGCTAACTGAAAACCAAGGGTCACATACTGATCCCACTGACATCAGTTGCAAAACTTGCATTCTGTTCAATGAAGGCTGGATTTGGCACTCAAAGTTAAATACCTATAAGTCTGATAGTCCTCATGGTTATGCTAATAAGTCAAAAAGTCAGCGTGAAGATGGAGTGTGATGAAAAGTGATCGATCACTAAAAGAAAACAAAATTAAGGCTGAACAGGAAATGGGAAGTCTCACAAAAATGTTCACAATTTTAAACATTTTGCCCATCCTGAATCTGGATGGGAAGCCAAAGTATCAAACAATTTCCCAAACAGTTACTTTCAGAAAGGAAAAAAAACCAGATCTGGCCAATCAAATGTTTTCTTTTTTAATTTCATAACCTTTTGTTTCAAATAGTGATCTTTTTATTTTTAACATTTTTAAAATACAAATTAAATAACATTTAGAGACAAAGTCATTTTGAACAGGAAAATGAAACTCTTTGTTTTGAAAATGTCAAAACAGGTCATTTCAACACATTTCAAAATTCCCCCCTTCCTCACAAAAAAAAAAGGTTGGAATGTGGTTAAAAAACTGAACCTTTCCCACATAAGTTTGGGTTCAACAAATCAGCATTTTCCAATCAGCCAAATTTTCTTAGAAAATTCCTGAGCAGCTCTAATAACAAATCTATAATACTGAAAGGGCATCAGCACCAAACAGGGTGAGGAATTACGTAGCATAGTAATCAGAGATGGGAACTTGGAGCAATGGGATGAACCAATGACCTGGTCTACATTGCAAAGTTAAAACAAAAAACAGGATTATGTAGCACTTTAAAGACTAACAAGATGGTTTATTAGGGGATGAGCTTTCGTGGGTCAAACCCACTTCCTCAGATCAAATAGTGGAAGAAAAAAGTTAGTCTTTAAAGTGCTACATAGTCCTGTTTTTTGTTTCAGCTACACCAGACTAACACGGCTACATTTCTATCACTATTGCAAAGTTAGGTTGACTTAACTATATCACCTCTGGTTGTGAAAAAATTCACACCCTGTGTGACACAATTAAGATGGCCTAAACGGTGCTATAGACTCTGCCAGGTCACTGGATCTGGAAATATAAATATCCCAAAAGGTGGGCTACCATCATTTCTAATTAGACCAGACAAAGCATGCAATACAAGAACACTGTAAGTCGGCAGGGAGAGAGCCTAGATGACGTCAAGGTTTTTTCTCCCCTTCTGGATTCTATAGGGCAAACACCCAAGCCCTGACTAAGAACCTGATTCTCCAGCATCTTGCGTGAGCAAGCCCATTAAAGAAGGAACACTAGGCTGGATTCTTCTCTGACATGACTGCTAACTAGGCATAGAACCATTGGAGCGCCACATGGATGGAAATCTCTCAGTGTAAACCAGGTATAAGGAGGAAAACAATCAGGACTCTGGGTATTTATTTTTGTCCGTTAAGTGTCTAGCACAAGCTGGTGCTATGCAAATCAGAAATAGTAAAAAGCAAAGGGACAGATCCTTAGCTGGTGTAGAGGAGTAATAGCTCCGGGATCGGCCACAAGGAAGCTGAAACCCAGTTCTCTTCTGACTGCACTCACTTTGCATGAATGTCAGTCAATTGACTGCAGGGATGTAATTCTCTGGTGTGAGCAAGAGGAGACTCACAGCCCTCCAACCTGGCTAGTTTTATGTGGTTTCCAGGTTTTGGAAAAACATTTGCACGATGGCAGCCTCGTCCTCATTGTCAAATGCATACTGAAATGCCTGCTGCTCTCACTGAGGGGCATAAGTAACTTCCATGGATTAACTTGTATCTTGCAACAGGAGGATATGGGACCAGATTGCCAGCTAGTGGAACTCAGAATAGTGCACTGAAATTAATGGAATGGTGCCAATTTTACACTGGCTAAGAGTTTGGCCTGTACTTTACAGAACAACTTGGGGCTATCACTTGCTTATGTTCTGTTTATCTATTTATATAGGAAGGAGGATTTCCAAAAAACAAATGGGAACATTTCATTCTCTTGTTTATCCTTTTCCATCCACCCTTCTCCACCCCCAAAACAACCTTGTAGGACTAAATTCTTTGCAGGTGTAAACTAATGTAATCCCATTAACATCAATGGAATCATTCCAATTTACACCAGCAAATTTGGTCCATGGTTTCCAAAGCCTAAAGCTACAATAACTGTCTGTGCACCCTTGTTGAGTAAACACCACACAGCCTGCCAGATCCTATGCAACTTTTTACCCATGAATCTCTTTGGAGAGGCGAAGGAGAGGGGGAGAAATCCCTTCTGGTTTTCATAATGACTAATCTTTTCCCCCCTTGGCATTCACCAGATGTTGCTTTGGATCAGAAGATAAATATTAAAATCTAAAGAGGAACAAAGCAGGCTGTTTACTAGATGGATTTTCTAAGGTCTTTTGAAGGCTTTAAAATCTGTGGGGGGCAGATGCTTTGATATGCATGCTGAATGGATTTCACAACCCACTCTGTAGGTCAAATTTCTCGATGATCACCAAGCTAGGAAACAGAAATCCACCTTCTCCATAGTCGTACAGGGCCCAACTCTGCAAACGCTAAGTGTCTTCTGATGCTGCTCAGCCTCCCCTAGGACTGCACCCACATCGGACAGAGCAAAGACTAACCTTAAAAAGAGGCCAGCAAAATGTGCCTGGGATGAGTTGCCCTTTGTCTTGTTATCCAGAGAGTTGTCATCGCACAGATATAGGTAAGACATGACTCCAGCTAGGCTGTACGCCCCTGCTGTGATATGGATATCACACTGGATGTATGTGGCCCCAGCTTCTTTGCAGTCTTCTGAAAGGTGGGTCAGAGCACAGAGGACAGCTAAGGATGCTGCAGAGACAGAAGGAAAAAAATACCCACCCACATGAGCACTTGCACAAATGCAAGTTAGAACCAGATGCTGCACCAATGAAGACAATGGGAGCTTTGCTATGGCCTTCTATGGCACAGGGGTCATGACTATTTTCCCAGTTTAGCCCTTTTGGAACCACACCCCTCCATCCTCATGGTCAACTGCTCTGTGTGCGCTACCAGGTTATTTCGAACTAAGTTATTTCGAAATAGTAACTCCCAAAATAACTATTTTGAAATAAGCTTATTCCTCTTCACAAGCAAGAGTTATTTCAAAATAACAAGCCCATTATTTCAAAATAACAGGCATGGTAGGGTGGATGCTCCCCTTGGGAATGTCTACACTACCCCCTAAGTTCGAACTAGGGGGGGTAATGTAGTCAGACGGAGTTGCAAATGAAGCCCGGGATTTGAATTTCCCGGGCTTCATTTGCATGAAGCCGGCCGGCGCCATTTTTAAATGCCGGCTAGTTCGGACTCTGTGCCGCGCGGCTACACGCGGCACGGACTAGCTACTTCGGATTAGGCTTCCTATCTGAACTAGCTGTATGCTTCGTGGAATGAGGCATACAGTTAGTTCGGATTAGAAAGCCTAATCCGAACTAGCTAGTCTGTGCAGCGTGTAGCCGCGCGGCACGGAGTCCGAACTAGCCGGCATTTAAAAACGGCGCCGGCCGGCTTCATGCAAATGAAGCCCGGGAAATTCAAATCCCGGGTTTCATTTGCAACTCCGTATGACTACATTACTCCCCTTCCCCAGTTCGAACTAGGGGGGTAGTGTAGACATTCCCCTTGTTATTTCAAAATAACTCGCCATTGTAGACATGCCATGATCCATATGTTAGTCCGCATGTTGGGTTTGACGTTTCATATATGTGGCTAGTTATGATCCTTTGTGCAGTACCTATCCAGAGGCTCTTTAGAATAAAGTGGGAGACAAAGGCAAACCAGTGTTTAGCTAAGGCAGTGATCATAGAATCATAGAATCTTAGGGCTGGAAGAGACCTCAGGAGGTCACCAAGACCAGCCCCCTGTCCAAAGCAGGACCAACCCCAACAAAATCATCGCAGCCAGGGCTTTGTCAAACCAGGACTTAAAAACCTCTAGGGATGGAGATTCTACCACCTGCCTAGGGAACCCATCCCAGTGCTTCACCACCCTCCTAGTGAAATAGTTTTTCCTAATATCCAACCTAGACCTCCCTCTCTGTAACATGAGACCATTGCTCCTTGTTCTGCCATCCGTCACTACTGATGGGCAACCTAGGTTAGTGAGTGGGCCACATGAATGGCCCTCCATCTCAGTGGGCCACAAGACTGTCATAACCAAGATGGTATCCCAAGATAGGGTAGTTTTGCTAACTGCAGTCGCATACTTGGAATTTGTAGGAGGTGCCAACTGAAGCGTAACAGTGTTTTGATTGGATGCAGAGGAAGCACATGACTCTCACGGTCAATGTTGTGTGCAATTAGCACCCACCTCACTTCATGTGTCCTTGCTTTACATATTTGTCATATTTGCTTTACATATTTGTCATATTTGTCATTTTAGTATTACGGGTAGGGGAAAAACTACATGGATGGGCAGTACATGGGCAGTGAAACAAAATGCCTAGTGGACTATACACAGAACTCCAAAGGCTTACATGGGGTCCAAAGCCTCAGGTGGCCCACCACTTAGCTAAGGGATAGGTGTAACAGCTACCGGGAGGAGATGGGCCAGGACTTTAACAGGGTTCAAGAAAGAGCTAGATAAATTCATGGAGGTTAGGTCCATCAATGGCTATTAGCCAGAATGGATAGGAATGGTGTCCCTAACCTCTATCAGAGGCTGGGAATGGGTGATGGGAAAGGGATTGCTAGATGATTCCCTGTTCTGTTCACTCCCTCTGGAGCATCTGGCATTGGCCACAGTCGGGCTAGATGGACCTTTAGTCTGACCCAGTATGGACGTTCTTATATTCTTATAATTGTTTCCGCAAAACAGTAGAGTTATGTGCTCAGAGCCTCAATTGTTCAGCTGAAAGGAAGGAAACATCCTTTTCACTATACGTGGCTGGTCTGCACTTCATAAAGAGCATGTTGTGTCCAACACACAGGGGTCTGAGTGGGCTAATGCAATTAGCCTTTCACCATTTGGAGACTTGGGATGGAAAGCACAAGCCGACTGTGAACCTTTCCCCAGGAAATGCTGTCTGGTGTTAAAGTTCATTGCAGGTTTGAAGCTCAGCCATGGCTCAGTGAAGCATCAACAGAGCTTTGCAGGCTTTATCAAAGGAATGGATTTGGAGTGGATTTGGAGCTTTTGCTTGGAATCTGTGTGAAACTTGAGGCTTTGCATGACTTCAACTCAATGGGTTTGGGAGTTTTATTAATTTGCTTCAAAAGGTTTGTTTGCTTGTGTGTTTTTTAAGGAATGGGTTTTATGATCTGAAAGTCAGGTGGAAAGAGGTTTATCAGCCTTCAGGGATATAAACCAGAGAAAAAATTCTTTCAAAACCCTGAGAGTTTTCTATAGCTCTGGGAGTATCTCCACCCTGCTAGCACTCATCAAACAGTAAATAGCTGAAAAGAAAGATAACCTAGTGTCAGTTATTATTATTTGTCTTCTGAGATCAGGACCAGAACTGATTAGTAATTTTTCAATTAAACATTTTCTTCTTGTTGCAGTAAATGCCACTTTGTTGAAACTGAAACTTTTCACATGAGAGGGCCGGTTTTGACAAATTTCTCAACTTGAAAAAAAAAGTTGAAAAAAGTTTCCAAGTTTTCACTCTGATGTTTTCAAAACCAAAAAAAAAAAATGTTCTCAATGACTTTTCAGATCAAAAATTAAGCTAATTGTACTCCAAAATATTATTTTAATTGAAAATAATTGAAACTGAGCCATTTTGAAATGATCAAAATAGAACATTTGATTGACTCCAAAAATTCAGACTATCACTTCACAAATGTATTTGAAATGGTCTTTAACCCAATTTGGGATGAGCAATGTTCCCAAAAATCTTCAAAATGTTCATAGGCCAGAAAAATAGATTTCCCACACAGTGCTAAGCAGGGTTCTATTGTTCTAGGACCAATTCAAACGCATATCAACTAAGCAGTGCTTGTCTCAAAAATCTCAGATTCCAGGCAGAAAACAAGAGAAAATAAGATAAGGCAGATAAGACAGACCGCAAAGTAGCACTGAAAAAAATACTGGTCAGCATAAGGAGCAGTGGTCACAGCACACCAGCTGCATAACCGTTATTGAGTTTTTTGTAGACATCATGGCAGAGGAGAATTTTCAGGAAAAATTGCAAGGAGGAAAATGAAGTGGCTTTATAGACATTTACATGGAGTTTCTCCTACATGTGAGAGGCAGCATGGTAGAAAGCATAAAGATGCTCATGTAAAAATGTACTACCTGGTAATGGAATCAGAGTAATGGAGTGGAGATGATTGTAATTACTGCTCTATGAGAGATGGTTGGGGACAGGCATTAAATGCAAAGATAAGCAAAGGTTATGTTTGATGCAATGAATAAAGGGGATGGGTGCATAAATGAGGGTGACATGGTCAAAGTGACATGCCAGGAAAATGATCTTAATTCCCTTCAAAATGTTGCTGCTAAGTAGTATGAGGTGAGATTTGTCAAGGTCAGAAAAGGAAAAGCTGCAGTTGTTAAGACATGAGAGGATGAGGGACTAAATAAAAGATTTAGATGTGTTGAAAGTGAGGAAAGCAGCAGCTCCCCATCACATGTTCCCATTTCACAGATGAGAAAACTAAGGAACAGAGATCTTGGGCTTGTATGGCAGAGGTGGTGAGTTCCCACAGCTCCAACAGATGTCCATAGGAAATGGAGGTGATGTGTACCTCAGTAAATCATGTAATCCAAGGAGATCCATGGAGCGTTCAGAGGATGTGCTGTTTGAACTCAGATTTCCAGAGTCCCAATCTAGAGCCTTAACCTAGCTGTATCCAAATCTTGCTGCTCCTTCCTGTATAACATCTCTAAGGTCCTGCCTTTCCTCACTGTCCACCCAATCAGAGAACATGGGAACCTATCGACTGTCTCTTCCAGATTCAGAAGGGGCCTGGACATTAGGGAGATCTACAGGGTGTGGGTCTCATCCAGGTTGTTAAAGTGATTCACTGTGCCCAGTCAATTAGGGGCTGCTGTGGAAGGAAGCACTCCAGGATACATAGCTCCCCCAGTAGTTGTAAGTGTGCTGCTGGTTAGCAGAATTCAGCACATGTTCTGAATAAGACCATAGTCAAAATCCAGAGGAACTGTGACAATGCCTCTCATCTTTAAGAGATATTGAAGAGTAGGTTGGATAAATGTCTATCAGGGGTGGTCTAGTCAGTATTGGGTCCTGCCATGAGGGCAAGGAACTGGACTCAATGACCTCTCGAGGTCCCTTCCAGTCCTAGTATTCTATGATTCTATGATCTTTCCTCCCACGCCCCACAATTGTCAATCCAAGCCTACGTTGGTCTGGACAGATGAGGTTGTTTAAGGGAGAAGCAAGAACAAAAGGCAGCCCTGGTTCCTGAAACCTCGAAATTTGCAACAATCCTAATGGAAGCACTCCACAGAGTGAGGACGGGTCCTGGCTTGGGGTGATATGGCTGGTTGGGCCTAGAGCACGTTGTATACAGAGCTGATGGACTTCCTCTTGCTATGCCAGACTTTTAGCAAACAGTGGTGCTGTTTTATGCTTTATTATGTCTTGCTCATCTGCCATATAAGGCCTCATTCCAACACGGAGTTACTTTAAAAAATACATCTTTATTGTGGCTGCTTCCAATATGGCTTCTTTAGTCTCATGGGGTGTGTCTAGACTACAGGGTTTTGTCGACAAAAGTGGACTTTTGTCGACAAAACTAAACCTGCGTCTACACTACCGCTGAGTTCTGTCGACATAACATTGACAGAACTCAGCAGTTTTGTCGACACTGGTAAACCTCATTTTACGAGGAATAATGCCTTTT